GCGCCCAGAAATATTTGAGGCGCCAAAGTCTCTGATTTCTACTACTGCAACTACTTTTTATACTGCTGCTTCTATACAGTGCAGTAGTATCCGCGCAAAGTCTACTGCCACTAAAGATTAAGTTAGGCGGTGTTTCTGGCTGCATTGGAGAAAGCTGCTTCCGCCCGATTCCTGCTCGGTCATCTCGACTTCGGTTCTGTAACCGATTAAAGCGGAGGAGGGTTTGAGTGAGGTAGGCAGCTGCGCGTCTATTTCATTATAATTTCGTCTTTGTTTCCAATCACGGTCTCTGTTCTTGAGCACATGGTGGACCTCATCGAAATCGGTGGTCAAACAACACACACACACACTCGAAGTATGCGCTGAATGAGGTGGACTTGAAAACCAGAAAGAGTCGTGTTTACCATTCCCACGACAATGCTGAAGCTGCATCCGGAGAAGAAAAAGTATTGGCATACATTTTTGAAGCTCCTCATGAATGTATTAGATATCAGCCTTAAAGTGCGACGTTTTTGTTAAACTAATTTAACTCGACTGTTCCATAACAATTCGACCAAGTGACGACTGCCGCGCATTTAGTTGATGGCGCTTTGGCTCGAGCAAGTTGGTCTTTTCAAGATTCTGAATACCCTGCACAAAACACCGTGGCGTACGAGGTTCAAAAGCCGTTTCGTAACGTTATCCGGTCCACAGAATATTACCAAGCATAACGTCCTCCCACCTTCCTATGTATCGTTGAGACTTGCCTGACAAGAATAATTGGCAACACAAGCAGGACACAGACGAACACTGTTGCCACTCAAAGTACTGGGGAGCAAAATTATACGAATGCTCAACAACTGCCATAAAATCCTGGTAACTGACGACTCGAAAGCAGGCAATCAGACAGTCATCGCACCAAACATAGCCATTTGCGAGGTTTGCGCGAAATACTAATAACAAGAAGCGTGCGATCGCATAGCAACTGCATCCTATAGTTACTGCACCTTTCGTGCGTTTGTCTTCGTTCTCTGATTATGTGTCCGAATGCAAATCCGAAACTTTAGGCAAATCAACGTCTTGTTCCAAGCGACCCTACCTCCTCATATTTGATAACATGAAAGGGTTGACGTCACTATTAGGTCCCAATTTCGTAAACAGGGTGCCACAGTTTTACATCTGGGCCAGCAAAACCAAGGTAGAAGAGGCAAATATTCAGCCGCCCTTAACCGGTCTTCATTTGGAGGTGGGGGATAACGTTGTGCGATTGTAAGCCACTGAGTGGCACTTTTAGGTGGAATTCAGATATGATTCAGCATAGTTCATGTCTCCCCATAGTGATTGTCGTCCTAAATGTAAAGTTCTTGTTCTGTGGGCATGCTACCGGTGTCCCTGTCAAACGTGCATTTTTGAAAAAAAGAACGCAACCCTACGCTGATGAACAAAGTGTCTACTGAAGCCTCAAATTCCCTAGGCTGTCATAAAGGTCTGCTGACTGCCACACCGATATTCAAATTTTATTCTAGATGAAAAGGTGCGGAGGAATACTTATTCGTTGCTGTTCGAAGTCGCACTGATACTTGTGTGCGCTTCTCAACGACTGAGGGGGTGCACGAGCATATTGAGTCGACGACACCATCGAATTTGACGTTATGGTAGTCTTTACAACTGAGCAGTCATCGTTATTGGATTGAAGTATAACAACAGCGTCAATGCAGCTGGTGCGTACAGATCTTATTTTTATTCCACCCAGTTGTGTAAAAACCCAATGTCCTCGGTGGGATTCGAGTCCATGGCAGCAAGAGCAAGGCATGAGTACAGCCGACGTTCTAACCATCTAAACTACGGTTTGTAATCAGGTCCTGCACTTGCTGCTATGGGTTTGAATCGCACCGTAGCTGCCGAATATTCCACAATCTATTCAGATCTGCCGCAGACTTTGTCTCCTAACCTTGGATCTGACGGTATTAATAAAATCCAACGTTAAGCAAAAGCGTTACCCTCCCAGATGTTTTTTTGTATGTCTTTCCTATCCCATCATCGATCGCTTCAACATGTAGTCACTTTTATACTCGAGCGTTATCCCACTTAAGAACAGCTGACTGGATTGAACTTTTCGGGTTGAAAAGCTCGGCAAAATTGACTTTTCACCGTATATGTTGCCTGACACTGCCAACACCGCATTTTCGTTGTAGCAAATCATTTAAGCAATTTGGTTCTTCCGAAAAAATCCATTTTAGCCTCAAATGATCCTTGTTAGCTGCCTGTATTCACGGCGATGGACAGTTTAAGCTTTCGTCACGATCATACGTTGTCTGACAAGTGAGACGCCTAAAGTTCCTATTGTCTCGAAAACGAGCATGTCTGACCTTGTCCGACTGTCGGATTTTCTATACAGTAAAGTATTTGTCGTGAACCGGTCATAACTTAGCACGCCCTGCGAGGCATACTTCACTCCATTTGGAGATTCCACCGACGTGACTTGGCGAAGTCGTCATGGTTGTTCAGGGAAATACTGCTTTGCGGCCTCATCTCTACAGCACATAGCCCGAGACTTATTTGAGTCCTATTGCTTCCGTTATCGTTGCCCATCTCGGCGCCAAGCATCGCCCTAAGACCTACCGTGGAAGTGGTCCCGTCCTTGTCAATAGTTTTACTTGTATTGTTTGATTGTCTGTGGAGCTCACGATATCCAAGGAGCTGCGTGATCTGTTTTTTGGGTAATCCATTTGGATACTGCCTCTCGGCATACAACAACTAGGTAATTTTTGTTATTAACAAGGGTACTAGACAAAAGCTCAAGCACGCGTGCTCCACCGATCTTGTGCCACTGCATGATGCCGCTACGAGGGGTTCGGCTTGTTAGCGGGTCCTCCAACGTTCCCTGCTTTGCTTAGTTTCCAAGGGAGTTAATTGGCGAACTTGAAGTAAATCTCTTGGAACAGACCTTTTCAGGCTCGGTCCGGAAGGTGGTATGAATGTTTGAAGTTAAATCTGTTAGCTACTGCAGAATAACCGTGTAATATTCACAGGCTGTCACTAGACAGTCAGTGCTATACACGTATATAACATGCGCAAATATTCGAGGTCCAGATATAATATTGCTTTCATCAG